GAAGTCATTAGTTTGAAATAAAGTGTTGACAAGTCAGACATGACTCATGAGCTCATGATAGTGTGAAACGTGACCTTAGCATTATTGTTTTGCTTGAGTTTTGATGACAGGCCCTAAAGCCAATCAAAATCCCTTAATTTCATGATGTCCACACTGTAATGATCTACAAATAACAGCCAATCAAATCATTTTCCACATATTCCAGGAAAAATCACGTGGCCTCCATACACGATTACTGAGGAGAGGGGGCGCTTGTACACAGGCTACATCCCTCCTTACCCTAGCATGATTGTAAACAATCTGCTTTAATACATACATGTAATTTACTGTTGTCAGGTTTGTTGGAATGAATTTTGAACAGTTCCATCAGCAGAGCCAACCATATATAGCACACTGTAATTCAACTTTTCTACCCTAGCTAAGCCAGCTACAGTAGTCAGGGCTCAAAGTTTAAATTTGAGTTTGGGAGCACTTGTGCTACCAGATGTAAATTTTTAGGGGCACTGCCTAAATTTTAGGCGCACAGCTGAAAATTTTAGGAGCACAGCTTATAATGTTGGGAGCATCTATTTCAAAAGACAAAGTAAAAAGCTTAACAGTGCGACGTTTATTTGTCATCTCCAATTTGTTACTTTTACTTCAGTCCTGTGATTGATAAAACACAGCCGAATTGCTACGCAGTAATACCGTTGTGATTTTTTATACTAATTTTTCCTTTTGACAGCACAGTTGTGACTAAAGAAAACTTAAACTTGAAAAACAATTCAAAACTGACAACAATGAGTGTGTCAAACGAGAATGAAAATTAATCTCTAATGAATTTGTTAAATGCGCAATGACTTACATGTAACTGGAATACGACTTAAAAAACTTTCTTACCTGGAAAAAAAGGCTCTTAATCCGCACTGTTTTTGTTTTGATTGACGTTAAAACTGAATGTTCAACATGATCATCCATTGCGCAAAAAGTACGTGTATATTTGCATTTGTCAGCGGTGTTTATTACAAAACAAAAGAGTCTGGGATGGAGTAAAACATCAAAACGAAAGAGAACATTTGAGTTCCTAGAATCCATTGGGAGAAAAGACCAATTTATTAAACATACACCGTCTTTCTGGTTCGAGTTCGTAAGTATAGTCGCAAGTAAGTCAGTCGCAATGTGCTTTGGGTTTACCGGCACACAGGTGCAATTACACATGTATTTTTAGGCGCACAACCAAAAATCCAGTCGCATATGCGACCAGTTAGTTGCTAACTTTGAGCCCTGGTAGTGTAGACAAAGATCAACTTCTTCCCCTATTAAAAAAAGAATCCCCTACTTTGAAGGAAAATAATAAGCTCTAGTGCTTAATGATCAAAACAATGGATTAATGGATCAGTCAATTCCAGCTGCGCCCAGCGCCCCCCGGGCTACTGCAGGACATTTGCCCGCCTTGTCAGTCCCGGGGCTGGGGCATTTGCCAACCCATCGGCCATTCCCGAGCTTTTGAAACACATGTTGTTTCCTATCAGAATATAACTACACAAAGGATTTTACTGGGAAAGAAAACAGATTGGCTCAAAGGCCATGTAAAGGCATGTTCTTGATTTTATGCATGTATTTCTTCATTGCTTATCAAGCCAGAATTACATAGCGAAATCTGGAGCTATCAAAGTGAATCAAAGTTTTTGGTCATTGAATCAAATTTCTGTTGATATTATTTGAAAAGCATCCTTTCATATTTATAAAA